AGCCGAGCCCAGATCTTGTTTTTATTCTTGTTCCAAGAATTATGAATACTAGGTAGTAGGTCGGTATATATTATCTCCATCTTACAGCCTTGTCATTATCAAGTTTCGGCGACAAATGCTTTCTCTGTCATTTCTTTTCATAGAAGAATGCGGTCTCTTTTCACCTACAGTGTAGGCAGGACTTTCCTGCACAACCTTCAGAGGGCCATCTCGAACGGTGAGCAAAAGCGCTCGCTAAAAGCCGTACTTTAGCTACTTCTACCACCATGATGCTTCACAGCCAGATAAAGCTGAACCAAGGACATACTATGATGTACGCACACACGTTCGAGACCCAGCTTACCATGAGTAGTCCACGAGCGACAACATGGCCTATACTCAGAGCAAAAGCCCACAACCCACATTAGCCATACTCCCCACCAAGCCCTCAATCATATACATCCTGGCCCACTCCACATGCGAATACGCTGCGATCCCCAGTATCACTACCAAGCCAACATGCACCGCCCAGAAGACCTGCTGTCGCATCTTAGCCGATCCAGATCCGCCCCTCAAGCTCAGAGCCCACCGAGGCTTCACGGCTGGACGAGCAAACAGCACCACGGATGTGACCGCAATCACGCCCAGAATTCCCCACTGGACGTCTGCATCGCGGATACGCTTCAGAAACAAGACCCCGAAGTCCGGGTGGCTGGATTGCAGGAAGAAAGAGTCGTAGAGAAGGGCATGGCCAAGTAGTAGGGGTGCAATGACCAGCCGACCAAAGAGTCGATGATAGGCATTGATGGTGGGCTGGGGGATGGCGGTAAGCACGGAAATAAGAGAAGGGGAAGCCGGCTTGGAGGTGAGATAAAGGGGTGGCGACATCAAAACCTGGAAAGGGAACTGAGAGAGAGCGACATGTCCGAGTGACTTGGTAAGGTGAAGGTAGTCTGGAGACTAGTTAGTTGCAATTCGTTGATGAATTTTGGGTTGTGTATCATCCATGTTGTGATATTCCTAAGTGGCGGGAATACTATCCGCTAAGCGACAAATCACGGGTTCGGTAATGGTAATATCACGGATGTAGCTTCAAACTATAGACACAGCATAGATAAGAGGAAACGGTCATACCTTCACTAGAATTCCATATGCAGAGACTCAAGAGCCACACTAGCCACACTGAGCAGACTAGGTACTGTCGCCGTGTCTCAATCCATCCCACAAAGGGGGGAGAGTCCAGCCAAGACTTGGGTGAAGGCTTGCGGCGATTGGGCTTGGAGGGCTCGGATCCAGGCTCAGATGCCCATACATACAATCGCACCAGAACAATGGCTATTAGCATTGAGTATTGAGCGTAAGACCCCCGTAGGTCTAGGAGCTCGCGACGCTGCTCCTTCTCTGCATCGGAGAGAGTGATAAAATGCCAGGGCCAGGAGAGAGTCATGGTGTCGACGACCGAAATGGATGAAGGTCAAGGGGTGAAATTGAGGAGTAGGCAATTGAACAACGGTCATAAACCAGCTTGCTCTTCTGCGCTGAAGAGGACTCCCACACGTGAATGTGGTTTGAAAAATAAACCGCCGATGCCTGTCTAACCGCGCCATCGGCTTTACGGAGATACAGGTGGAATCACATGATTTATAGAACACCGAGCTTGATTACGCCCCTATCATCCACCCGCTTCATTGCCTGTCGGGCTCAGACAGCAAGGTTAATGATACGGAACCAGAGTAGAGAAAAAAAAAGTACCGGGATCTGATTTTGCAGGATTATTGATCGTCAACCAAGAAGACTCTACAGGGAGAACGCCATCAAGCATTTCATACCAGCCAGGCTCTTCTGACTGTTTCTAAGTTGGACAAAAACTGAAATTCCACCCAAATCCGCGCGAGTGCCGTGATATTAGTACCCACTCACGCTCCCATGGTGCTAAGCCTACGGTGAAGTCTGCATAACTTCCTCGTGGCCGCCAGCGGCAGTGGTCGCAAAATACCGCACATCGACATCATCGTCGCCTTGCAGCTTCTCCAGGCTAGGGAGAATTCTCTGTTGGATGAGTTCCTGGCCCCGCGGCGACGGGGTGGCAGTCTGTCCTGCTTTTTCGAGCTCTGTCAAGGTTCCTTCCGCCGGCAGGCGTCGCAGGGTATCAATCAATACAGCGTAGGACTTGGCAACGTTGAAACGGATGTTCGGGATTTCGTCCGACACGAGTCTGTCCAAGATGGGGAGAATCGAGTTCTCAATAATATCCATCGATACAACTGGGGCAAGAGTCTACAGAGAAGTTAGTAGCTAGATTTGAGAGAGGCCAAGAGTTCACGTACGGAGATGGCGAAGCACGTGGTCATCCGGTAGAGGTAGTTGGGGTGCTGGCCCATGGCCATGACTTTGGGGATTATGGATCCCTTGGCCCAATCAACGCCGAAGACCTCCGTGAGCTTCCTCAAGTTCGTTGTGGCAGCCTCACGGATGGAAAAGACTGTGTCGCCGAGCCAGCCCATGCAAAGATCGCTCAGCTGCTCATCGAAGAACTTGACGCCCAACTGGCTGGCAAGCAGAGGTATATATTCGATGATGGCCAGTCGGACACGCCACTGCTTGTCTTCGGCCAACTGTACAATAGCCGGCAGCAAAGACTGGGACAGGAGGTCAATGCCAATGACTGCTTTGGTTAGTCAATGGACTTAATGTCTTGCCATGGCGTATGCTCGCTCACCTTTGTTAACCAACTCCAGCTTGGAGATGATATGCAAACGAACATCCGGGAATTCATCCTTGAGCATCTGCAAGAACATCGGAAGGAGATGGGCAGTAGTCCTAAGCAGCGTTAATGACGATGTAGTAAAAAAGCTCGCATTCAAGCATATGCACTTACTCCTCCTTGCCAAGGATAGGTGCAAGGCCACTAATCTGAGTTCCCAGTGCTGCGCGGACGTGTTGAGAGGGGTCCGACACGAGATCTTCAACACTCGTCATGATCTCATTAAGCAATGTATCACGGTCGATCAGGCTGCAGAAGCCTATTCCAGAGTCAGCGGTCGAAAGTTTTACAAGATGCGGCACTAATACCTGGGATCTGGCCAGCAATAGCGGTGCGGACTTCAGCTTCCGTGTCTTTCAGAAGCTTAACAAACGAAGGAACCATGTCACGAGTGACAACTTCCTCGTGGACGGCCTTGGCGATCTGTGTCCTTTGTCAGTCAACTGCGGCTGGGCTAGGTTCTGTGGTCAACGAACCTTTTCGTAACGGTCGGCAACCATGTATCTAACTCTCCAGCTCTTGTCCTCAAATAGATTCCTCAATGAGGTCAGAAGAACGCCATGGCTGGGCTGCTGCTCCTTGGGGATTTCCTCCGCAATCGAGATAAGCACATCCACAGTAAGCAGCCGCACGCTATCCTGTTCATCGGTGGCGAGATGCTGGAACAAGGGTATCATTTCATCGATAACAACTTGGGTGTTCAGTTCCTTGATGAACTTGGCGAGGTTGTTTCCGGATTGTCTTCTCACCATTGGTGTGTCGTCGTGCACGAGGCTTCCATAGTATTGACGGAGGGTTTGCTGTAGTGTGGGCGAAGCCTTCCTATATGGGACACAGTAGAGCCCAGTCGCGGAAACTTTCGAGGTGAACCAGTCGGCTTTCGACAGGCGCAAAACCATCGGAATGAAATATTCTTCGATCTGTTTCTCGGACAGCTGCTCTCCGATCTTGTTAAGAGATTCTACGGCCTAGTTGCGAAGCCATCAGCATGAATCGAATAGGTTTTCGAGACCCCGGTATAAGCGTTCGCGAGTCCGTACCTTTTCTCTGACCAGAGGTTCTTCAATAGCGGCCAAATTCTCGAGGGGGGAGAGAAGTACATGCCCGTACTCTGGGCCACCAACATATTCTGTGAAGTTTCCAAGCTCCTCACTTAACGCGGTCAAGACCTCATCTTCATCCTCGACAGAATCTGTGAACGCAAGGTTAGGCGCATTCTATGTGACACCGTTCATCTCTCGCATATTGGGGACTAACCATCGAGGAATGGGATCAGCTCTTCCCGGGTTCTCTCGGGCCCTAGAGCCAAGGCAATAGTGGAGAGGCGGTGAATAGCATTGAGACGGAGGAGGACATCGTCGTGCTGGATTGATCGAGTGTCAGGACCGACAGTGCCCGCACGTGGGGACAATAGCGGAGTCAATGGTGACTATCATACCTTCAGCTCGTCGATAAGGACGGCGATAGGGTAAAGCTCGTCGTTTTCACCCTGACCCTCCATCGCGACTATATTATAAGACTTTTCGGGTTGAGTGTTTGAGCGAAAACCAGAGAGGTGAGGTTATAACCGATCCACGTCCTCGCTCAGGCGATTATTATCCGACCCGCTCGCACGCGAACACGTCGAATATTTTCTCGGGAGGGGAAGGGAATTCTGGAACTGAGGGGCGATTCTAGGAAGGGCCAAAGGATGGTGAGCACCTGTTCAAGATCGGATGGATTAGTGTCGGGTGGGGAAGGTCTTGGGGTGGTGGTCTATGGGAAAAGGGAGGGTGGGAGAGCAGTGAGTGGTGAGGAAGAACCCCGGAGGAGGTTTCGTGGGGTTTGGGCCGCCGCAGGACACTTGAGCAATAATAGCAGCGGTAGCGGCATACCTCAACAATTGCGATAGGATGAGAAGTTGGAGATGCAGAATTCACTCCAGATGAATTGTGAAGCTAAATAGAAGCTCGTATGAGAGGAGTCAACATATGATCAGGAAAGAGAGTAGGTTTGGTGCTGGTGGGAGAAACACAGTTAGTAGCTGAAGGGGAGATTACGAAAGTGACGGACCGACTCGACTGACTTGCTGGGAGAGAGAGAGAGAGAGGTTCAAGGAAGCATGGGCTGTGGCTGGTGAGGTAGTGGGTGACGGTGACGGAGGGGTGAACTGGCACGTGGCGGTGCGGCTAGAAGATGAAATGTGGCTGACCATCCGAATCGTCGCCGCCTTTGCGAGCGAAGAGTCAAAAAGACTTTATATGACTCTACGATTATTGACCAGCGCATCCAGCCACGCTCCCTTCCTCTACTTTCTTCGCTGACCCCTATTTCGCGGTAGTCGTCCTGGTCTGATCTATACAGTCGTTTTTCGGTCCATGGGAGGCTGGTACAACTCGATTTGATCCCCAACAGTTTCCTCACAACACTGCGAAGCCCAAACCCCTCATCATGCCCACTATTTCGGTCGACAAGGCCGCCCTCTTCGAGGCGCTCGGACGGGAGTATGCACTTCTTTCGCCCTCCCACATACTTTTCGATTGCATATCTAACTCAATGGTTGCAGGTATACCACTGAGGAATTCGATGAGCTTTGCTTCGAGTTCGGTAAGTTGATCCAGATCGGCCATGGCGGGGCAATCAATGTACTGACTGGTCACCTCCTAGGTGTCGAACTTGACGAAGACGTAAAGGCTCCTTTTCGCACTCATCGGATATACAATCAGATTCTAATAAAGCTATGGACACTAGACTACGAACCAGGACCGCCCGATCGTGAATGGAAAGCAAGAGCCCCCTCAACTCAAGATCGAGATCCCCGCCAACCGGTATGCATCCAGAATCTCTCTCGAAACACATACATATATTGAGACCGTCGCAGTTATGACATGCTGTGCTTTGAGGGCATTGCCCTCATGCTCAACATCTTCTTGGGCCGCCAGCCGGTTCCCAACTACAAATTGGTTGAGCCTGCTAGTGGACAGCTCGAGACGATCATCGTCAAGGAGGATGTAAGTCGCAATTGAACAGCCTGCGCCCCCAGCATCAGGCACTGATTATGTGGAACAGACCATGAAGGTCCGTCCTTTGGTGTCCGGTGCCATCCTCCGCAACGTCAAGTTCGACCAAGCGCGCTATGAATCCTTCATTGCCCTGCAAGATAAGCTCCACCAGAACCTGGCGCGTCAAAGAACTCTCGTGTCCATCGGCACCCACGATCTCGACACTATCCAGGGACCTTTCACCTACGAGGCGCTCCCCCCTAAGGACATCAAGTTCACCCCTCTTAACCAAACCAAGGAGATGAATGGTGAGGAGTTGATGAACTTCTACGAGGTATGACTCATGGCGCTGCGGACTTGGCCAGCGGACTCGGTACTGATTCTCTGAATAGAAGGACAAGCACCTCGGCAAGTACCTGCACATTATCCGGGACCACCCCGTCTACCCCGTTATTTACGACTCGAAGAGAACCGTCTGCTCTCTGCCCCCCATCATCAACAGCGATCACTCGAAGATCACCCTTGACACCAAGAATGTCTTCATCGAGATTACCGCGCTCGATAAGACGAAAGTGGAGATTGTCAACCGTATGATGGTGACCATGTTCTCTCAGTACTGTACTGAGCCTTTCACGTAGGTTTCCATCACATGTCGTGCAGAGCCCACCACTGACAATCAATACAGCATCGAGCCTATCAAGATCGTTTCCGAGCACAACAACGAAACCCGAGTCGTTCCGGACATCAGCCCCCGCAAGGCCGAGGCTGAGGTCTCCTACATTAACCAGTGCTGCGGTCTAGAACTCAAGCCTGAGGAGATCTGCACGCTCCTGAAGAAGATGGCCTACGATGCTAAGCCCTCGACGACGAATCCCGACATCCTCGACGTCTATATTCCCGCCACCCGAGCGGATGTGCTCCACCAGGCCGATATCATGGAGGATGTGGCCATCGCCTACGGCTTCAACTCCCTGCCCCGATCCTTCCCCAGCAAGTCCGGCACCATCGCCCAGCCCCTCCCCATCAACAAGCTCACCGACATTGTGCGCGTGGAAGCCGCTATGGCCGGCTGGTCCGAGGTGCTGCCGCTTATCCTGTGTTCGCACGACGAGAACTTCGGCTGGCTCAACCGCAAGGACGATGGCAACACGGCGGTCAAGCTGGCCAACCCCAAGACTCAGGAGTTCCAGGTTGTGCGCACCAGCCTGCTGCCCGGTCTCCTGAAGACCATCCGCGAGAACAAGCACCACGCCGTCCCCATCAAGATCTTCGAGGTCAGCGACGTCGCTTTCAAGGATCTCTCCCTGGAGCGCAAGAGCCGCAACGAGCGCCACTTCGCCGCCGCCTGGTACGGCAAGACTAGCGGTTTTGAGGTCGTCCACGGTCTTCTGGACCGCGTCATGGCCATGCTGAAGAGCGCCTTCATCACCGGCGAGGAGGGACTCGACAACTCCGCCATGTCTGATTCGCAGTACTGGATTGAGGAGCTTGATGGTGAGTAATTTTCTGTCACATCGAACATGAAAGGCAAGTCCACGGACGAACAACAACGCTAACGCAATTGAATTTCCCTAGAACCCACATACTTCCCTGGCCACGCCGCCTCCGTCCACGTGCGCATAGCCGGCAAGGAGCTCGTCATCGGTTCCTTCGGTATCCTGCACCCCACTGTCCTGGAGAACTACGACCTTAAGTACCCCGTCAGCACACTGGAGCTGAACATTGAGGCTTTCCTATAATTGATTGATGACCCCAGGCTGAGAGAAGACGTAGACATGAGGGATTAGATCTACTTTTCTACACATAGGGATCAAAAGACAGCTGAGACTCATGAAATAAGATGTCATTTTTAGAACGAATAAAAAAAGGGCAAAAAGGGCAATATCAAAAGCAAGCCAGATCAGAAGAGGTGAAACATGCGCTTACGTAACACGTAATTCATTCGCCTCGAATCTGAATAGTACTGTGTGTGCAATCGCGCTCTGCATAGACTAGACACTACAGGGGACCAGTTGGCCAGCCTCCAAAAGGTCTGACCTTAAGGCACGAGCGGGGCCACACACCGCCGAAAGACTACTAAGCATCGACGTACACACAGATCTACACGGTTTACCGGGGTATGGCATACGAATTGTGGGGACAAGAAAGAAAGGCTTGGCTAGAACTCGTTTCGGGCATGAATTTTGACTTTTTTTTCTTTTCCTTGTTTTCTGTCTTTCCTACCTAGGCCATATCGACTCAGGGTGTGTATATCGAGCGAGGTAATTAGAGACATGAGAGGGAGGAAAAGGTCTTTTTGAGAGAGATACTGACGTCCCCCGTCCGCCACGGGAAGCGGGAAACGAGGGAGATGACAATAAACACGGTTCTTCCGGATGGATAGTGATCATGAAGTTTGTTTATTTTGCGTCAGGTAAGAGAGATATAGGTAGGTCGGACAGGAAACGAAGAAAAAGAGAAAAGAGCAGGTGGGGGCCTAAGAAGAGAGGGAAAAAAAAGAAGAGGGAAATCCAATTAATTTTTTTACTCCTGAGCGAACTCAGCGGGGGCGGCACCCTCCTGGCCCTCGGTGGCCTGCTGCTCGGCCAGACGCTGCTGCTCAGCGGCCTGCTGGGCGGCAAGAGCCTTAGCACCGTAGTCCTGGCTGATGGGCTGGAGGATGGGCTGCTCCTCCTTGGGCTCGATGATGGTGACGGAGTCGGGGAGGGTCTTCTGGGGGCCGGCCTTGCCCTCGGGGTCGGAACCGCGCATGATCTTGACCTTGATACCGAGGACACCCTGGCGGAGGAGAACGTGGCGGGTGGCGCTGTCGATGAACTCCTTGGCGGGCTGACCGGAGTGGATCATGAAACCGTCCTGTGGAGAAACAAAACCGTGTTAGTCTCGGAAACCTTCATGTTCGAATGCACATCATTGTCATGACGTGTAACCGCAAACTCGACGAATTTGGTCCCGATCACTCTCACGAGTCGTAAATCCCTTCGCATGTCGCGATCGCGGACAAACTGCATCGATCCATCCGGCTGCTGTATCGAGACCATATTCCGTGGCTGCTTCAGGGTGGTTTGATCGGCAAAAACGTACAGTGAACTTCATGGACTTGGCACGGGCAGCACGGAGCTTTCCGGAAACGACGACCTCGCAACCCTTGGCACCGCTCTCCATGATGAATCTGAGGACACCGTAGCAGGCACGGCGGACGGCGAGACCGTTAAGGAGCTTGTAGCGGAGGGACTCGCACTGAGCGACAGCGGAGAGACCGCGGTTCTGGACCTTGGCGGCATAGAGGGAGACAGAGTTCTCGGGGAACTTGAAGCGCTTCTGGATGAGGGAGGTGAGCTCGCGGATGCGGCGACCCTGCTCACCGAGAACCTCCTGGGTGTGGGTGGCGCGGATGACTGTAGCAAAAAGAACATCCGTTAGCAACCGATTCGTGTTTCCCTTGGTGTTTTCCTCCATTGTTGATATTCCAACTCGTCCCCAATCCATATCCACAATTTATTCCAAGCTTCTCCTCGCACTGATCCATCAATTGTTCCCAACCTCTCGGTTTCTCCTCGACATTCTCCCTTCCATCTCTTTTCCGACTTCAAAACAACATAAAGCAATCAAATCGGGCGACGTACTGATGTCGGTGACGGTGGGAGTGACACGGACTTCGACACCGGAGTAACCCTCCTCAGCCAGCTCGCGCTGGAAGAACTCGTTCAACTCGGCATAGAAGACACCGTCGGCGACGAACTTGCGGCGCTTCGAAATAGCTCCCTGGACAGCAGCCATGTTTGCGTTTCTGGGTGGTGAATTGGCGAAAGAAACGGCCGAGAACGCGGGTGGTTGAAGGGGGGGTAGTCGTTCGAGGGCGAATTGGTCGGCGGCGGTCAAGTCAGTTTTGAGAAGGTCGGCGGTAGTGGGCGGTTTTTGGCTTTAGGGCTTGCTCAACCCTTTTCGGGTTAGGGCTCAACCTCGCTTGCTGCTCCGCGGGAACCTTTCCTTTCTGGGTAAGCTTTTCCCCTCCCGAGTCCCGGGCCCTTTCTGTAGTTTCCAGTTTAGATCCCCCCGGGTATTTCAGCCTGAGTATGCAGGCATCAACTGCTACAATAACATAAGTAACAACATACTCAGTACAACATCTTTTCTACTCTCTTCTTCTCTCTTTATACTTACTGCCCCTTGGTTTTCTCTCAGGCTTTGAGGAAGTGGGTGGGTCATCTTCTCAGTCACCATCAATCTGTCAAGAAACACTTCTTTACAGATCCAGCGGGGTTGTGCAACCCCCCACATGGGTGGTACTCGGCATGTTTCCTCTCTTTTGGCCTCGACTAGACTATGCACTGGTCATCCCGGCCTTAGAACTGTATCTCTACCGACAAAACCAAGACAGAATATGCAGCGTCAAAAAAGCAAGACTAAGGACACAATTGCTAGATAACAAACAGAAGACTCGCCGCCTTTTATAGATTTGCCTGCCTAGACCGACTGCGACGCAATGCGTCATTTCATCAGTTTGAAGGCCGACTGGTGTCTCTACTCCTTCATTGCATCTCAAGCTCCATGCGATTCATGCTTTTCGTATCCTGGTTGTTCTCTTTGCTTTTGGGGAAGGCCAAATTAGAGATTCCCGCAGTCACAGTTGCGATGCCGCTCGGTGGGGCGTTGTTAGCATCTTTGCCAGCGGAGCCAGCGCCGACAGAATGATTAGCGGTCTCCATCCCAGTCAATACTGGTGACCGCTGAGCACTCGGAGTCTCACGGGGAACCGATAACCCCGAGCCAGGGGCCCGAGGACCGTTCATTTCAGCATCGGTTCTACCAAATGCTTCGCTCCACCACCGCACTTCATTGACGCGTGGGAAGACTAGACGTTCCTTTCCACGTTTGTGATCGTCAATCTGCGGGTCAAAGTCAGGGTTGAGGAATTGTTCCCTCCGTGCCAGGAAGTAATCCCAAACGCTCCGAGTACGCCCTTTGGCGTTCCACTCTACCCGCTCCTTCTCACTGTTGAAGAGGAATGTTCCGAATTGACACGAGTACAAGTGGTACAATAGTCGTCGCAGGAACCGTTCATTGAACTCGAACCGGGTAGGGTGCTGGTATAGTAACTGATAGGTTGCATCCAGGAACTGGTGGAAGACCGGGCTTGTTTCCTTGACCTTGGTTACCTCCTTTTCCACGGGCGTTGCTTTAGGCACTGAAAGCTTCTTCGCATTGTCGCCGTCATAGGATTGCATCTCCCCATCCGACTCTCCAAGAGAATCACGACTGTTGTTGTCTCTGTTGAAAAATCCCTTGGCGCTAAGGAAAGCGTTCTCGATAGCTCTACTGGCACCACCAGCCTCGCCAAATGCTCGATTCGAATCGCCTCCAATCCGTTCGTTCTCAATCTGGAACCACTTTTCGCTGTTGAGATGTCCGGCCCTGTGCCGGAACATGTGCCCGAATGATAGCCAGTCCTTTTCTACCAACACCATAAAGCCCTCTAGTGTGCGGAAGTACGGGTCGAGGCAAAGTTGACTCAATGCGCTCAACTGACTCGTTCGATCCCATCCGTCTGAGCAATGGATCAAAACATGCGAATGCTGGAGCCCAACCTGCCGGGCAATCAGACCCGCGCCATCTAGAACCGTCGAAATATGTTTCAGCCAATTGCTCCGTGCAAGTTGGTCCTTATTGGGCCCTAAGGGAGTCACATCAGAGTCCTTGAGAGCATCGATCACTTTGTTGAGGGAGTCTCTCATCACGTGGATGTTGTCGATTCCGAGGTACGCCTTGGTAGCGAACTTGTAGTTGTCCATATTCTCCGACCCAAGCCCTACAGCCTGCATTGCAAAAGCATTGACGGTTGGACGAGCATCAACAATAAGATTGCGCTGCTGGGCTCCGTATATGTGGGGCTTTTCCTCCGGGTCGCCGGCAAAAGATGCCAGCATTTCATCTTCCAGTTCTTCGGCGTTGGTCAGGTCAGCTAGCATTTGACTAGTGGACGGATCACTCGATGTCGAACTGGAGGATTCCGGCTCCAGATTCGGCGGAGTGAAGTTTGCGAGCGGTCGTTCGGGGCGGGAAGTCGAGAAGATCGCGGCGAGCAACTTCTCGTCCTGAATGCTTCGGTTTTGGCGCACACCCACCAGCGGCTGCGAGCTTCGTGTGATGGAGCAATTGTTCACAGGGTGCAGATACGTCAAAGCGGGTACTCTTGCTCTTGATCGATATTTGCCAGCATGGTTGAGCGTGATGTCCGAAATGGTAGTCGGCACAGGTATGAGAGCAGGGTAGGTCGCAGAGAACTGAGGTTCAGTGGTTAATGATGTAGCAAACTCCGTTGTTTTCTCAGGTCATACTTGCCCCATAATCAGCGTTTAACTGAGATACCCGCCAACCCGAGCCATTCTGGTCCACGCCTTGCCGAGCCCACTCCTTACGGGCGTCATACAATTCCCAACCATTGAACTTCTGCTCCGGGGGAGGCGGCTGGTAGGAAAAAGCATACAGCTTATCGATGCGTCCAACCTTGCAGGTCCAGCACTTTATAGTTTCGTATACATCTCGGGCCTTGCTCTCGCTTGTGAAATAGAAGCAAACAAAGGTGAAATCTCGACATCGTAACCGGATTGAAGATGGCTGGCGGGCTGCGGCGGGGGTGGGGCGATAGGTACAGAAGGAGATAATTGGATATGTGATCCAGAGCTCCTTTGACCGGCCAGCAGCATTGGGGGTTTGAGTTTTATCGGTCGAGGGAGGGATGTAGGAGAAAATTATATGGTGAGAGGTAAGATGGAGTGTACCGACGACCTGTTCACCGCGACGCGCCAAGGTCACATCTTCAACCTGGGGAATCATCGACAGAAACGCGTCAGTTTGTGTCAGATTTATCCGTTCTCCACTGTGATGGGACTAACCTTAGCAACTCGTGTTCTCTCCATGCCTTAGCTGTCACTGTCTCCGCATAAGCTTCATGGCTGGGGGGGGTTTTGCAACAATTGAGGTTCGGTGCGCCGGCACGGTCGGTAAGTATGACGACAGGCAAAAGAACACAAAGAGTGATGACAAAAAGAACTATCTGAGCACAAGAAGGAAGGACAAAAACAAAAACCCCAGACCGTTGAAGATTTGTTGAAGGGGAGAAGGATAACAAACATTAACTTGCAACAAAGTTGGAGGGGGGGGGGGTGTTAATTTCAGTAGCGGGCACGGACAACTCGGCCTAATGCGGAGCCCCTCGCCTTTCTCGCTACAAATACGTACAGTACAGGCCAGGCCTGATGATGGCTGCTGCAACTACGTCAATCTGCCCACCCATGTGATCTACTACCATTGCCCCCCTGTAACTTGTAACTTGTACCTGGCCATACTTCGTACACTTATTCATGCCAACCACAAGTCACTAACATCCTTGATCAGTCTTAAAAGAGAATTCGCACTGCTCTTGCATGCTCAATTGAAGCACCCGACTAGTCATAAATCCAGTACAGATCAACTTGATCGTTTGCTTGTGAAGCATTTCCCAATTAGGAAACCCACCTGACTTCAGTGCAAATTGACAGCGATCAGCTCTCCAACTAATAGAATCTCCATGTGATATTATCGACTTGTGAACTCGAGCTATCACCGGTCCTTCTCTCGTCTATTGCTGTTCATGAGCAGGATAGCAGTTTCTATGAATGTCTATGGCGACAGTCTGCACGCACTACTGATGATTACTGCCAGCATCAACACTCTGTTTACCACCTGCGATTTTCAACACTACCATCAAGTCAACTAACAAGCAGCATACTTGCTCGATCTCCAATCCAACTCTTCTCATTATTCGCGGATTAATGTCGGATCTATACTGTCCACTCCCCCCTCGGGGCCAAGATATATTTCGCTTCCGTCGCCCCTACGGAGTGAACCTAGGATCTACCTTCACACAAGGCCCGTCCCTCCACCAAACCACCGCGCCAACTGAGCTAGAAGCACTGACAAGGTCTGTCTCACCCCCTTCGTAAGATCTCAAACCCTTGCATCACCAGTTGAACCTAACCGAAACAGCTCCATCGAAACGAATGGACTCGAATCCACCGCCTCAACATGGCAATCCCACTGGCTTTCCGCCCTGCCAAACGACGAGCTGCTCTGGCTCAGAGATACCTGCCACTGCAACACGATCCAACTGCCCCTTGGATTCCTCACCCTCGGTCCTCTCTTCAGCCAAGGAACCCCCTTCGAGGGCGCCCCATCCCAGGTCTACACGCGCTGCTGGTCCGCCATCAAGCATCTCATCGAGCGGTGCCACGCCCACGGAATCGGGATCCTCCTCAACTTCGACCTTACCACCAACGGGGTAAACCTCCGCTCCAGCTCCGAGCGCCTCGCACTCGCCCGGGACTGCATCGCCTTCGTAGCCCAGGAGGTAACCTTCCACGCCCTGCACGGGGTGGTCGGTCTACGGATCTCTACATCAAAGGAGACGCCGAGGCCGGGTTCCCCCACTCTCCGCGACTGGTACAAGGAGATCCGGATGATAGTCGGCGCCATCGACGAGTTTCTGCCACTGTACATCGGCGATAACAGCCCCGCGGGGACCGAACTCTTCCGTGACTGCGAGACGCCGCTCCACCACCAACTACTCCAGGCCGACTCTAAACAGCCAGCACCGGCAGGAAGGGCGACCTTGCCCTTACCCCCGGCGGCCCCCGGCCATCTGCTACTCTCGCGGGACGAAGTCCAGACCAAGGCCCAGCAAGCCCGGATCGAGCGGCCGCAGTTACTGAGGGAGGCCTTGGCGCGCCTGGAGGGAGAGGAGGAGGAAGTGAAAGGGGAGAAGGGGGAGAGGGCAAAGGAGAAATACTGCCACCGTGCGGTTGGGCGGCAGAGTTTCGTCCACGGCTGGGATCTGGGATACAGCGATGCGCTGCGGTTTTTCGATGCCGCGGTGGAAGGGCTGGTGCCGCAGCGCGAGGGGGCGGACAGGATCGGGGAGGTGGAGTTGTGGGCTCGTCGACGGGCAAGCGACGTTGCACGGCTGGAAGAGAACCATCAGGCCTGGGAGCTGGGGCTTCGACGGGGAATTGCCGATTTTAATCAGTTCGTGGGCATTTGAGCTGGTTCTTTTTGACCCCCCTCCGCGTCGATCTAATGTTGCATATGGGTTCGTCGGGTCCCGGTGTTATCAAAAGGGATGTGGACTAGCTTTGATTCGGGCAAATGGCAGTACACTTCTCTGCCATCGGCCACAAAAAGTGGCTGGACAAAAGCATGGGTACAGTACTTTTCAGGCGCCCGAGACTCGGACCTGCGTTTATTTTCTCCCCGCAAGCACTGAGCTGAGCCTATTCCATTAGATATCTCGTAGTATACATGCCTCATGCCAAAAGTCCCCCCCAGAAATATAAATACATGAAAATGTGGTCTAATCCTATACGCCAGAAGACACTTTTTGGGATCTAGAACACCTCCGGACCTTCAGAGGCCGCCTCCGTTTGGCGGGCCATATCCACGTCAAACGCCAAATTGCATGCAGATTTATAGAATTCATGGAAACCATCCTCAACCACGGGGTCAGTCGCGCCAGGAACGGCGTTCGATAGGGCCGAGTCAGGGTTCCCGATGTCCTTTCTCAAAAAGAGCTCGGTGACACGATGAGGCAAGAAAGGCCCACTCTCGTAGTATGAGTAGTTGAGCTGCTGGCCGCCGTAGTTGTATCTGTGGACCCGAGTGCCTCGAGCGTCGTTCACCGGCAGGAAAATGTAGTCTGCCGTCAAGGTTTCACCTTCCGTGGCCGGGGTCTGGCCCAGAAGCTTACGTGGAAGGGTGATTTGAGTGAAGCTGGGAAGAGGTACTTCGCTACCGCTGGACTCGAGAGACTGACGGAAAACCTTTCGCAGGCTCTCCTCAAGTGCACCTAATGATGGATCGATTGCGGAGCCCGTAGGAAGCTCATGGGTCAAGCGTCGGCTGAATCGGAGATCGAGCCCGTTCTCTGGGAGAAGGAAATCGAGTTTGCTTTCAGCTAAAACCACCTTGGCGCTCTGAAGGGCAAATTCAGGGCCGGTGTAAAATGGAGACTTGGAAGTATTCACTGTGACTTCCACCTCGAGTTGCGGGAAGACCTGGGCATGGAAAGCTGAAGGAACCAATCGGATACGGTGCACCTGTTGCTCATCGGACTTCTGAGGCACCAGATTGTTCAAGAACGGTGCCGCACGAGGTATATCTGTAGCGAATGTACGTGGGAGGGACAGCCGGCCAAGTTGAGGCGCGCTGACCGATGTCTCCTCAAAGGTAGGCTTGCGGAGGAAAAGACATTTTCCAACTGCCGCAGTGACCGACTCACAGGTATCGGTGGGATTCTCGATGCCAATGGTCTTGTTGAAATTGGGATTCCGAAGCAATTTGAGAAGCACATTGGACAAACGGAATTGATGCTTGTTAAAAAATTTGCGCCTTTCTAACAGGGAGCCAGGTGTCAAGACCTCGCCGGTCTCATGTGTAACCGCCCATCTGAACCACGAATGTCGTCGATCAAACCATGGTGTGTTGAGCTCAGGGTCGATGTTATTGATGCTAGCCATTTCGGTAGCAGGCATGTATGTACTGAACGGGGTAGGATGGTTGTTTGTACTATGCCATGCAAGATGCAGCGTCCTGTGAGCATCATCCGCCTGCTGTTTGTTCTCAGCAAGATAGAACATCCGCCTGGGTGTTTCTGATGTCTTCCTATCAAAGGTCACCCCATAAGTCTTGTTGAGCCAAGATAAAAAGTCAGGGCTTTTGACGCGGGCATTAGCAGTTATGTCGTTCTCGCTGACTGGTAGCGTGAGGCCTTCCTCCTTTATTCTCATGGTGGCGTCACGAACGATGTCCCTGATGGACTCACATGCTTCCTGTCGTCCGGTTACCCTCATAATCTGTAAAACCTGGGAGACATCGATTTTAACATCGTGTAACACAGCGAGCTCCTCAAACGAGAAGTTTTCGGCGTTCAGCAGCGTATGAAATGCGGTGTCAGGCATGGGGATATCAAGCTGGCCGACTTCGCCAGCGATACTCAGGTGCCAGCAATCCCGAAGAATTTTCTCAGCAAAAGCATCCTTCCCTTTCAAACCCTGAAGTGCTCCAGTTCGGATAGAAGCACGTTTGGGTACCAACTCCATGAGATTCATCACCCCAGGTAGCCAGTGTTTGCCTTCAGAGTCACCCTGGGGTGTGTCTTGGCCTTCCTTGTCGATTCGTTGTTGAATGTAATCAGAGAGTTGTGAGATCTTGAAGGATGAGCGAAGGTTATATCTCAGATCATTCCAGTCGGCGCGTGTTAATTTGTCGTAGGGTTGGTAAGGAGAGCCTAGCTCGTCAATGTGTGCGATATAGAGATCTTCATCGGCAAAAGCGGCGTCTTTCTCCAATTCCTTCAGCATAAAGTGCTCCCCCTTGGATTCTTCCGACGAGTCTTTCTCTGCGATAATCTGCGAGCGTCTGCGACGTTTGCGATCCTGGATAACCACGACCTGAGCCGGGTCTCCCAGAGAACGCACCGAGATTGGTATCGTGTGGCTCTTCGATTTCTGTCGTCTTACTTGCTCTTTCTCGCTCAAGACACGACGCATGCGCTTGATGCGGCCGTGCCGACGTCTGGACTCCTCTGCTTCAAGGTCGTCTAAAGAAAAGAAGCCCCCGACGCTATCGCCCGGATCGTCCGTGTATTTGTCGGATTTGAATCGAGCAATAACATTGCGCCTGCGCAATGGAAGGGTGTTTTCTGTTCTGCAATAGGGGCGCAGCGGACATTTAAGGAGCCCTACTACTCCTTTCGACGACCGGGAATTCATATGGATGACGAGGCGTTGGGGTGAATCTCGGAGTCTGAAATCTCGCGTGATCGAAATCTTGAAGCTCAAAAAGAATGGAGGCAATCGCCGAGGACGCTAGTCCTAAAGCAGAATAGCCAAGTCAGCTTCCGGGGGGCTTCGGCTCATCCACTTTTCTACTCTTTGAATAGGCTTGTACAATACGGAAAACCATTTCTGTCTCTCACCATGACCAATCTTTAAAACGCCTTTCAATTCAGGATTTGCAATCGACACTGAGACTATGTACAATTGATGGGATACAACTTGTGGTTTTGTCAACCGACTTCACAACCGCCGCGATTCACTCTTTGCTTGCAATTTCCCAACTCCGTAGGTCTTCGCGGACATCGAACTCGGATAATTCGTGGTCCGCATTACGACTTTTCCAGCTCCTCCCTTTCGGATTGTCGTGGAGCTGTTGTTCGATGCTTCCATCTTTCCTAGTATGATCCGCGCTCGAACTCATCTCGGACACCTTTGGTTCATTCCGGAAGTGGTTGCTGGATGAGCTCCGAGGTCGCTTCTCGAAGCTACTAGGCGACAAACGATTCTCCGTCGAAGCTTGCCTTATGCCCGTCCGGCTATACGGGGAAAGCCGGTCAGCATGGTGATCTGTGGAGTTTGCAAACGGCGAGTGCTGGTTCTCTGCCCAGCTGATGCTCCCGGCAAACAACTCTTCAATCAGCTTATCCGCCGGTAGGTCATCGGCTCTCGAAATCCAAGAAGCGGCCAGAGTACGGCGATACATGTCCTGCATGTCAGTGACCTCTCTGCTCTGGGAATTTATGGACGGCAGCCTGCCAAGGTCGTCGTGCTCGCCTTGTTCGGTAGAGACAACACCGGCGATCCCTCCGAACACCATCGCTGATTTGAGGGGGGGCCTGGGGGAGGTCAAATTGTCAGTCCGCAAATACTTCAGGTGATATCTAGATGCGACGGTCGAACGCACGTAACAAAGTTCCGATCACCCTCAACCTGGCGTAGAGCTATCCCGACCTTAAGCGTGCTGTTGACTTTGCTGTCCTGCATCAAGTAGCGCCTGACGATGCCCTCATCGTCGTCACTCTTGTCCACATACTCTGACAAGTTGAGCCTGATCTTTCCCAGAAGACTCTTCTCGTTATTATTTCCTCCTGACGCAAACTCTTGTATAACCTCGAAGTATAGTTCGCATTCGTGAAGCGTCTGGTTTCGATCGATCGTCAGTCGGACTTGCAGCACTTTCTCGTAGTTCCAAGATGCTCTGTGGTCTATAATGACCGCTTTGTCGGTATGCCCATGATGTTCGGGCGCACATCCAGAAGGAAGGCGCCACTTGACAAAAGCTGTGCCATTCACAAGGGGTACATTGTTGAGATCAATGACCTGAGAGAAAGCCCTCAATTGTCAGCTCCAGATAACGCTTGCGATGGGTTCTCGACGGGGAAGTCCTTACTCTCAGCACCAATTCAAATTTAGGCTATGAATACGGACATCAGCGCTCGCAACTCTTAAGTACCGACACAAGCGATCCCACTTACTCTCCTGTTCTTCGGGACTAGCATATCGCGCTCAAGAGTCAGCGCAAGAGATTCAGGAGAGAGATGAGGTCACAGCGCTCTGAGGGGTCATATGCAAGAGTCAGACGCAAACGCAGAAAACATACCAAAAGCCTGCATAGCTGGTAAGCTCAAGGCCTACAGTTCAAGACCCTAATAGCTTCACTCGTTTCATCAAAATCCCCAGATGGTTTTCAGAGCAATCCACACTTATCACGATAACGTCGCCGGTCGACACCATCTCCGATACGTCCGACGGCTCTCCCCACACGCCTTCCGTGCGAAGGCGGCATATCCGGCAATACTGTCGGCAGGAACTGACCGCCCTTAACGATGTTTGGCGGTGAATCATCCAGTCCGCAGCAATTGCGTCCGAGACAAAATTGGCCGAGCTTCAGCAACACTCTCAAGCCAAGACACGATCGCGCGCAAGAAAACTTGGTGTTGGCGCACGTAAAGCTATTCCATCTCTCTAGCACGCTTCTTCACCCCGTGAAAAATCAAAGTGAACGCGCCGCCTCCAGCCGCAATGGATCAGCAACAACTTCCCCTCTCGCCGCCTTCTGAGCCGACACCGTCGCCTGCAGCCAAGTTGGTCCCGCTCGACTCGCCGCTTCGCACGACTCCCATCCACGAACTTCTCTCGAGCATTCGTGTTCCCGGCCCACCTCTACAGCCACACCAGTATAATCCAGTCACCTGTGAGCCGATCGACGTGGATGAAGTGGTGCGCGCGCAGCTCGAGCAACTACGCCAAGAGTTCCCCTCGCCCGAAGCGGCACTGAAAGAACAAGAGCAGGTCGCAAGGGAGATCAGACAGAAGATGGAAGAGGCCGAGAAGAAGCGCGAAGAGGTTCAGAAAGCGATGGATAAGAAGATCAAGGAGCG